ATTCTTCAACATATCACTGGTCAAGTTTCATATTCAAGAGACCTGAATCAAATGACATTGAATTGCACATTTCATGAAATTAAAAAGTAAGTGATTTTGTAAAGGTTATAGAATTATTGGCTCTCAGTAAATTCTTAACTTTTTCTCTCCCAAATAACAATTAGAAAAGCTTTGGACAATTATAAAGAACTAACATGCCAAAAAAAACCTCACCTTGTTTACATTAGTGGCATTTGACCCTGAAGATAAAGCATCATTTCTTGAATTGCCAATTTTGGGAATTGATGCTTAAAATCAAGGTCAATCTCCAACAGTTTCATTTTAACTAACTTATTCATTTTTGATTAGTTTAGTTTTCATCTTATTTTTGTTGCCTTTCATTGAAATATTCTACTTGGATGGATAAGAAACAAAGAAAGAAGACAGAATTTAACTGAATGAATTTTCATTTTGCTTCCATGACCTCATTGGTTATTCACTGTCCATGTCAGACTCCTAAGGATGCAAGATCAAGTATTGTTAAACTAATTCATTTTCATTCAATTCTGCTTGCTTAATTTTTTTAGAATGTAAGAATGACCTGAGTACTTTAATAAAAAGCAACAAAAAATAAGATTTTAAAAAAATATGAATCAAAAATGAATCTAAGAAATTTGTACAAGTAATACTTTGCATCAGTGGTTTCCAAATGGTGTGGTGTGCCTCATAGGTGTAACGGAAGAGGATAGCAGGTGAGGTGGAATGATTGAAAGACAATCAAAGATTTAGAAACAGTCTCAAAAAATTTTATATGCCAAAAATAAATATGATTTCAAAATTTAAAATATTATTATAGATTACTTGTAATTGCATTCATGAGTCCCAGTATAAATAGTTATAAATAATTACTGACCAATCTTATTGTGATATTTTTGCATTATATCAAGTATTAAGAATATAGTAACTAGGGTTTGCAAATTGGAGGAAAGAGTTATCATGTTCTGACTTTGGATCTGCAGTTATCTCCCTTTTATAAAATTTGGTGAAGCACAAGTAAATTTTAATTCTGAAAATGTCACCCAGAGGAAAAAAGTTTGGGAACCACTGCTTTACATCATGGAATTTTGGTAAATTAATTACAGAGGCTTTGGTCTTTTTCTAAATTAAAACAGCTGTATACTTTTGGAACATACATATGTTTACTAAGCTTTGTTTGGCCCAGGAGAATGTGAAGATACAACTATTGTAATGTGTAACTCTGCTTTCTATTAAAATTAATATTTGATATCATGGCTTTTATTTGGAGTTGAATGTCAGTTACTGGTATAGATGAAAAATATGATATTATCAGAACCATCAAAGTGGAAAAAAAATTATATCAATTTTTTTTTTTATTTTCTTAAGTGGAAAAGAGTCACTCTTAATTATTATAATCAACATGAAAGTTTTACTGAAAGAATGAATTCTGATATGAATTTATGCATTCAATATGTATGCTAATATTAATAGAACATTCAAAATTGGGATTTGATCACTTAATCAGACATATATTTCTTGCTCCAGCTTATCCTTTGTGGAAATGACATTATTGAGAGCCTTCACTATTAAATCTTTTTTAAACACATTTGTTTGTACAAAGAAGTTTTGTTATTTTTCCTGGAAAATGTTATCCATTTTTTTTCAATTGAATAATGTTCAAAATCTTGATTGTTGACTGCTCTTTCCTTTTGTTTGTCTGTTAATTGTAATTAACTATTTTGCATGTTTATATAGTTGTCAGTTTTCATGGATCTGGAGCATGTATATAGATCTTGAGTTCAAATCAGATCTTTGATTTTATTATTTTTTTTAATGCTTTCACATAAAAGAATAACACAAAAGTGAAGACCTTAGAACTCCCAATAGACACACACATACACAATTACAAATATACATTACCATCCAATGGCCACTTAAACATACAAGAATCTTCCCAAAGTTACATATAGAATTATCTACAGTTTGAATGCACATGATACACGACTGACCAATGAGAACTGACCCAAACAAAATTGAAAATACCAGAGTTCCTGTCTTTTTGTCTGTTTTCTCTCAATCTCTGACAAAGCTTTGAAACATGTTAAATATGTTTCCTATTTGATCTTTAACTGATAAAAGAATAAATAACAATTTGGGCAATGTTTAACCAAAATAAAAGTATCAAAAGCATGGTCATTTCATTGACACCATTATTACTATATACACATTTGACTAACTCAGCAATGTTTGTTTTTAAAAAGCAATGTTTACAATTTTAATAAACCCAAAACACATGAAAATGGATTTATATATTTTCTTTATTCTTGAGAACTGAAAACAAAGATATTAAAAAACAGTATTTATCAAATTAAATAAAAACTTGTATTCATAGTTATTTATAAAATGGTAAATAATATTGGATTGTAGTTGGTTTACAAATTCTGATAATTTTGTAATGTTTTATAAATTTTTGAATAAAGATTGTTTTTTTTTTTTCAAGTTTATTTCTTTATAAAATGATAAATAAATATCTATAAAAAGTAAATCTCATACACCTGTAATGTGCATTGTTATTTTGTTCACACTGCTGTGAATGAAATATTTATTGGATTTAAAGCCAGTTGTTCCATAATGACTGAAATATTTATTATCAATGTTACAAGAGTTTATTTAATGGAAAACAACCTGATAATTCTCAGAATTTGGAAGATATTTTTTAATTCTAGTTTTAAGCCTTAAAACTAGAATTAAAAAACATCTTCCAAATTCTGAGATTTTAAGGTCATTGGTTATTATAGCTTTTTACCTAATGTAATATCATAAATTACTCATAATTTTTTTCACACTTATCCTTCCTGAATTTTATAAGTTTACAAGTAGATTGTTTAAGCCGTTCAATAGAACATTAAAGCTTTCTCTAAAAATATTGTACTCATAGTTATGATATTGATAATATAAATAAGCGAAATATACCTTTGGATCTCATCACATAAATTGTTAAAGGGACATAACTCTTTTCGTTTTATGATCTTTTGTATAACAATGTTTTACATTTTTTTTTTTTTTTTAACATTCACATTATTAGCCTCATTTTTTCTCGACTAACTTTTTACATAGTTTATCTGATTTTCAAAGCTTAGTTTTGTCTGTCAGCTGCCTTTTAATTGCCTAACTAAAAGTGTTAAATAGCAATAACTTGCTTGCTTACTTGCTTTTTCTTGTTACTAATTGTTAATCAAATATTTTTAACATTTCCTGATACAAAGGAAAAATTTATTCATTTTGATAGAGGGGACTAAAAAAAACAAAATTGTAATAAAAAAGAATTGAATTCACTTACACTACAGTTCAAAAGTTTGAACCCACTCCCAGAATTAGCATAGGAAGAACTTGACAGAAGAGGGGGGGGAATGAAAAAGAACTCTTAGAGGCATTGAAAAAAAGAATGAAATCAATTATGAAAATTATACATTGAGAAACTTTAGCAACGAATGCCAAAAATTTGTGCTGCAGTAAAGGATATTTTGATGAGAGCAAAATTTAATCATAAAATGCTTTTTTTTTTTCTTTTTGTCATAAAATTTCTAATAAAAGATCATATCTCATCTTTTTTTATTTTTTTATTTTTTTTTTTTTAACCATGTATAATTTTTTTTATTTTTTTTTTAACCATATATAATTTTTTTTTTTTTTTTTAACCATGTATAATTATTTTCTCTTATTTAAAGTACAAAATAACTACTTTTGGGGGCAATTTAAAAAAATTACCAGGGATGACCTCAAACTTTTGAACTGTAGTGTACATGCCCATTGCCAGTGTTTTGAGATGGAGTGAGGGAGGCTTTATGATGTGAATATGAATTTGCACATTAAGTTCATATCACTTCTACAAGGAAATGGGGCACCAAATGATTTTTTTTCTGGATGGGCAAGCTCGTCCTCCAGATCCCCTTCCCTTGGCAGCAGTCCTGAGACACTATCAAAAAGTTTCCAAGAAAACATTTTCTACTTTACTCCAAAAACAGATTAGAAAGTTGGAAACACTGTCTATGGCAGCTTATTGTTATCGATAGAACTTGTATAGAAAAATAATTAGTGTTTTTCTGTTTCCTTAAAGGTTTTTTTTTTTTCTGATTTTACAAATATTGTCATTTAACTATTTTCAAATTTACTTTTGTTAAAACAAGGTTGGGGACACTATCAGCAGAAGTGAAGAGACATAAATTTCTGAAATGAGGATTTATTATTCTTTAGATTATTGTTTTCATCTTTTTATAGTCACATTTCAAACATTGTAGCCTCCAGCCTTCATCAGGTACAGTACTAAACAATATATTCCTAGACTTCTCAGCAGAATGAGAACAATCTACCCCTGTAGATTAAATAAAGGGTTCAATTTGAAATTTCCTGAAGGTTATCCATATTGACAAGCACCTAATGAAGGTTGGAGAGCGCAACAGCGAAAACATAAGAAAAATGAGGACAATAGTCTACATATAAATAATGTAAAAAATAAATGGAGGTTATATAGAACAATTGTTTTAGTTTGCTTTTTTATTCCTTTATTTAAAAGCTTTTCTTTTCTAATGTTATTTTTTTTTCATATTCTCTCATCTTGATAGTAGTGTAAATAATAATTGAAAAAAACTACACAATAAATTTTAACTGAAGTGTTAAAATCTTCTGAACATCAGTTCTGTATTATAATCTTTGTCATCCATTGTAATATTCTCATCTATATAATGATTAATATGCACTTATTTTTATTTAGATAAATTTATTTCAATTGATGATTTATTTATTTTTAATCTGTAATAAAAATGTCTAAAATTGAAGTAATTATAAAATTAAAAAAAAAATATGGTCTTGGAAAAAAAATTATTAAAAGTATAACAATAGTAAAGGATATTTTGTAAATCACATTTAATATATCTTCTTTTAACATTTGCTATATATATATATATATATATATATATATATATATATATGAAATATCTTTTTAGGGCATGCATGAATTGCTGGCCCCTTTGATATTTGTCTTACATTGTGATCATCAAGCATTCCTCCATGCCTGTGAAATTGAAAGTGTTGGGTAAGTAAATTTTTTAAAATCTTTTAAATTTAACTTTTGGGTTATATACATGTACTTTTTTTAAAATAGATAATTATCTGGTTTTTATTCAGTTTTTGTCACATTCAGTTGTCTGCCCTTTAACCTTTGCTTATAACAACTTTATTCAATTATGTGGGAATTTTGAAGCTGGTCATGTTTTTCGTTGTCCCTCTTTGTTTTTGTTGGTTATTTAATTCATTGTAGCTTAATAAATATATATATATATATATATATATATATATATTACCTTAAGATTTAACTTGAAGCTCTAAATGGTGTAAAAATTAATTAAAAAAAATTTCAGAAGAGAATTTGTAGTCTATGAAAGCAAAAGTTACTGTGATTGGAGACACATACATTTAAATTTTAACTTATTCTTAGCAGAAACCAGTTTGATTAGAATTGCTCTGTTATATAAGATAAGTGTTAAATGGTGAAGTTAATTATTTCACTAAGTATTTATAACATTATTAACAAAAGTTCACTATTTCTTAGTGTTTCAATATAAGTTATTTTGAATCTCATATTCTATACATATAACATTTGGATTATTGACTTTAAAAAATATCAGCTGAAAATAAATACAGAATTTTCTACTTAAATTATCTGAAATTGTATAGTTAAAATAAAAAAAAAATAACATTTAAAGAAAGTGTGTTTTTTTTTTTTTTTCTTTTCAAGTGGGGTACTTTTTTGAAATATCAGACACATTAAATAATTGTTATATAATAATTAAAGTTTCTTTAAAATATGATAGCCTTGCTGTTTTTGAATACAAGGTTTTCTATGTTTGCTTTTACACTACAAATAAAATCATTTTAAGATTGATGATAGAAGCCTGTCAAAAGATTTGCTGTTTTTTTTGTTGTTTTGGTGATTATTTTATTTCTTGCAAACAAGGTGGCCATACCTCTTCTCAGTTTTGTTTTTACCCTTTTCTTATCTTTCTGATAAATTTTAGTTCTTTATATATATATATATATATATATATACACACACACACACACACACATTAAATAGATTATTATATTAATTGATATATAATGTTGGTTTTATGCAATTCAAATGCCCCTTGGGAGAATGTATCTTGGATAGAAAAACAAATATATTACTACTTGCACCCCTGAAGATGATCTCAGAAGAAGATTGAAAGTACTTGGGAAATAAAAGCGATTTTCACAGTTATAGCACATTTCTCACATCATTTGTGATACACGGAAGGTTATTCATGAGTATGAACAGATTATATTAAAAATAAGCAGACATAATGTCTGTAATTTATTTAATCAAACATGTCTAAAGACATTTGCACAAACATGCACAAACATACATATATATATATATATATATATATATATATATATATATATATATATATTGTGTGTGTGCATTGGTAGTTTAACAGTGGCCTAAGGAGATCAGCAAGCTGGGTTCAAATTCTGGCTAAGTTGTGTTCACTTTCACACAAATACACTTAGGAAAATTATGAATCCATCTCTTCTCCCCACAACTAAGGGTTAAATAACAAGATAGACTAGGCTCTCTAGCCTTGTTGGCAACCACTCTAAGAGGATGACAACTCTAAATTCAAAACCATTTGAACATGGGAGCTAGCAACTCCACCCTGTAAAAACCTGCTTGCTATTGAAACTGGAGTTGCAACACCTAACATGGTGTGTTTGGGGCCCCTATGTTCCATAGGGGTTGTTAAAAGATGCCAGAAACGGAAAACAAGAGTGTGTAGATACATACTTAGGTTTGTGTGTGTGTATGTATATATATATATATATATCATTGTAACTTAATGATAAAAACATCTATTTTTTAACAATCTTTTTCAAGATACTTAATTCAACAGTGAATATTGATCACATACTTGAACATTATACAGTGAAAATTTCAGATTAAAATTCTGCAGATAACTACTTGTCAGGCTACAGACTTATTGATCCACCTTTGTATAAAGTTTATATAATGGCTATTTTGAAAGCCATATATTTATAACAAAGCTTTCATCAAATGAGGACTTGAGGATCAGGTATGGTTTGGGGAATTAAAAATTATCTTTAAGCCTGAATGTCTTCATGATATCATGGAGCTTTGCTGTTTATCTGTGGAAACCTCTGCCTTGTTTTATATAAATGTGTGTGTTAATTATGTCAGCCATGTTTCTTTTGCCTTGTTCAACCACTTTTTCTTGAAATCCTTGTATAAAAAAATTTTTTAAATTAGAAAAAAAAAATCACCAAAATATAGAATGCTTTTATTTATTTTATTTTTATTTTTATTTTTTCACAAAAATGTTTTCGTTTCTTTTGTTTTATTTACTGACAATTTTTCCACTTTTTTTCTGCACCTGGCTTTTGTTTTTGTTGCTTTTTTTTCCTTTGTTTGTTATTTTTTATTCTCCACATTATTTCAGCCTGACTCAAGTTATTGACAGGTTAGACTTTTAGTTTGTCAATTTTGCTTTCTTTATCTAAAATACTCCACTGCTGGTTAAGGGGCTGGCACATATTCCAGACCCCCCCCCCACTCCTCAGTAATGAGCTTGTAACAATTATTGTTTATACAATCTTTGAAACTGCTTAAATATTATGAAGTACACTGTTTTTAAAATTCTAACTTCAATTTTTCAAAACCAGACGAAATAAATATGAAAAAAAATACATCTTTTAGAAAAGAGAAAAATGACATCAGTTACAATGCAATTTATTTGCATTAAACTCTTGTAATTTATCCTTAAACATCTAGGAATTAGGTGTGTCACATCATGTAAACATATTGATGTAAATTCTTAGGGATGTTCCTTTTGGTATATTTTATAGAGTTTTTGTATTATTAAACTGTTTTCATATTTTTTCACCTTTTAAAAAAAAACAAAAAAACCTTTAATATTTTTTAAAGTAATTTTGAAAATATTTTCTTTTGAACTACCAAAATGAATTTAAGCAAAATATTTCATGACATTTTTTAATTAAAAGAAAAAAAGTTAATATTTGAATATTATATCACAGAAAGAATTTTTAGGAACATTTGGCTGCATGAAAACATTTTTACTTAATGTTTTAAAGAGTGTATAATTAATATATAGTATAGTGGCTTGGGTTGAGAAATCCGAGTTTGAATCCCAGTTTGCTTCATTACGTTCACTTACATGCTAATAACCTTGGAAAAGGTGTGAATCCATCTCTTCCCCCCCCCAGCTATGGGTAAATAACAGGAGAGTCTGGGTCCTACAGCCTTAGATGGCAACTGGTGTAAGAGGAGCAACTCTGAATTCAAAACCTTAATCTCTAGTGTATGGACTGAAGGTGACCCACACTATATTCTGTGATTTTTGCCTGTCTGTCAAGAGCTTGGAGAGGAGATGGGCGCCGCTAAGTTATCTGAAAGGATCATGAGGAAGAAGAATCAACATGTTTCTTCTGTCCTCAAATCCCCTTAACCATTGAAGTGGTTGGGGATTAAAAATAATTAATTTTCACAGAAATCAAAATTTGGTTAAATTTAATGAATACCATTCTGCAACCTCATCTGGAAAATTATTTAAATATTCTATGGAAGATGTAGAATTTAATATCTATTATGAAAATATCCTTGGTACGATGGGTTGTTTCTTAGAGCATTAGTGACCCCTTTTTAAAAATAAAATTTTTGTGATACATTGTTTTGTTAAAGTCAATTATAAATAAAAAGAAATATTCAATAAATCAAGAAAAGTTAATCTTATCTGATATACTAACTAAAGTGTTTCATGCTGAAATGCTCATAAGTACCAATAGTAAAAATTTCAAATTTAGAATTAACATTCAATGCAAGGAGTACAAATATGAGATCTGATAATTTCAATAGATTTATTGTACATCTGGCCCTGATTAGCCTTGTGATGTAAAACTCTGGAGTTGGTCAATCAGATGTCACTTTAACTTTTCTTGATTTATTGAATATTATAACACTAGTTATCTGTTGAGGCCTTTTTGGCAGAAGTTCTGCTCACCTGAAAAAAATGTTAAATTCTTAAATTTCACTTTTTATTAGTTATTTTATCATTACTATTATTATAAAAAGAAATATCGACAAATTTACTTAATTTAAAAAATGGTTCATTGCACAAGAGTTGTTACAATCCAGCTTGGAAACCTTTGCCTTATAGAGACAAAAACCTTTTGAGGTAATTGAAGAGAATATAGGTTTTAAATTTTCTTAAAAATACTATCAGTGCTGTCAAAAAGTAGTTTCTAAATATCTTCCTTTTTTTTTTTTTTTGTGATATGTAAACTTCTAGTCTCAACTAAACTTTCTAATATTGTTTTAAATAAAGAAGAAATGGTTCATTTCATCTAACATCCTCATCTTTGATATTCCTGGAAATGTTTCATATGTATTATTATTATTTATTTATTTATTATTATTATTATTTAAGGGTGCTAGGGAAGTTAGGTCTATGCATAATTTTAAACCTTAGTCATGTCTTTGTGTCAGCCATCAGGATAAACATATTTAAAAGGTCCAATTTGTGAATTTGAGGGCATATAAAACTTCCATTTTTTTTTTACCCTTCTCCCACCAAATATGACTAAAACATATGACCTTGCAGTTCTTATATGTGAAGCTGAGATAGGTGCAACAGTAGACTCTCAGCAATTGTCTTTCATGTAACTCCACAACATTTTAACATTAAATGCAGAAGCCTCTTATGTTTTATCAAATACAGAAAGTATCAATCAAAATCTCATTAGGTTATCAGCTTTCCAACAATAGAATTTAATGACACAGTAATTGTGACTTCAGTTCCAGAGTTGGGCAGTGTGTATTTGGACTCTATGGAAATGGGGCGAGCAATAACTGAGCAGTATTATGTAAGAACTAGACGAGATATCTGTAGACATGGTTACAAGAACAATCTATTCCAATAGATTAAATAAAGGATTACACTTCAAAATTCCCTGAAGTTTACTTGGATCAACAAACACCTGATGAAGGTTGTAGGGTACAACAACAACTGTGATGATGATAACAACAAAGATAGGGACAATAGTCTGCATGTAAATAATGCAAATAATAACTCCTCATCCCAGAAATTCAAACCGCTTTTACTTGATGGTGAAAAACATTTTTGACATCAACAACTGAAAGGGGGATAATTTTTACACTGTTTTTTAAATGTTTTCTAGCATGTTACTAAAAGTAGGCAATGAAGTGTACATTTCTACTTGAGGACAATATTATAAATGCGCTAAATACTAGACTTGATTATGTGATAGAACTTGTCTTAAATCTGAGATTCTTCTACTGGACATTTTAATAAAGCATTTTGATATCAATCGCTTAACTATCTGGGCCAAACAAGAAAATGGTAAAAGTGAATATACATTTAATTATATACAGTGGTGAATCATTAATTCTGTAACCAAATTTATTAACTGGATTATGATCTGAAGTTTTCACTGCATAATGCTTGATAAAAGTGATTAATATTCACTACTTAATTGTAATATATTAACAAGGAAGATTGTTGAAAAATGTAAATAAATACTTTTTCTATCATTGAGCTTATTGCTGTCTCTATGTATATGCCTGCCCATCTAATGCAAATAAATAAGGTGATGTTATTCTCAAATAACCATTGAGAAATGAATGGAAAATATTTCAGATTTATGTCAGTAAATATAGCTTATCCAATTGTCAAAGATGTTCTTTGCTCTTTTGTCTTTCTGTAATGCATGTCTACTAATAGAGGGAAAATACATAGTTTTTCTCTCAAAATTCACTGGTGTATAAATTATAGATGTGAATCTTATGGAGATTTTTTTCCCTTTAAAACCTTACTGGAAATTGTGCTGAAGCAATTGTTTAGGTTTTTCCAATCCGTCAATTCATTTAGCAAAAAGTTTCTGCATGCTGTGCAAAATCCTCATTCTTTTTTTGCTCTGCTTTTCTTTGTTCATGTGCCACAAATATTTAAAGTTTTAGAGCTTCAAATTCTGAATGAACACTTTTTCAGCCTCAAAATGTGAAATTTTTTTTTTTTTTTAAATCTTTAAAAATATTTTCACATTCACAAAAAACAAATATATAAAACACATTAATTTCCATAAAATAGCATTAAAAAAATGAGACCTATTTATTGATGTTCAGTGAAAAATCCAGCCTGGTTAAAAAAAAAATTCAATACTAATTATAGATATATCTAAAAAAACAAAAAAGAAACAGTATTAATTATAGCTTTAATGACCCATTAATGCCCATCCATCTTAAAAATAGGACAAAAATCTATATTCAATGTACCTTTGAGCTTAAAAAGGACAGGTTGGGACAATTTTAAAGCCATCAAAAGTTTCTTAAAAACTGATATTTTGAAGGAATTCCTGAAAATTAATGAAATGCTTTTAGGAGGAATATTATTTTAGTAAATATTCATCATAATATGAAAAAGAAATAGTAATGTTTTAACTAAGTGCATACTTTTGTTTCAACTAGTCAATAACTTGCTTACCATAAAATCAAAGATTTCTTTTATATATAAAGTTGTAGCTGATTTACTAATGACTACAAAAGTTAAAACCTAATAGTTCAATTCTCAGGATTTAAAAAAAAAATTGGGTGGGGGAAGGAAAATCATTTTGTGTGTTCTTGAAAATCCTTTAAAATACTTACTCTGTGAATATCAGATTCATTGCAAATATTTTGATTGATTTTCTTTCTTCATTGGAAAGGTTTATTTTTCTAATATCAATTTGATTATAGCTATTTTTTTCACCAAAACCATTCTAATACTGACTTATTGAAAATGCTATAATATCCCCTGTATAAACTGTCTAAATGCAAAATATTTCTATAAATATTCTTAGATTATTTTTTTTTTTTTTTTTGAACCAAAGTATTTTTTTTAAAAAAATACCATCCTCTGCAATTTTTTCACTAATTGCTGAATGTTTTCTATTTTTACTTATTCACTTTCATTTGAATTTCATTTGAATTTCATTTAAATATGTTTTTGCTGATGCAACTTTCTCAAGACTTTGCCCCTCAAAAGAATTCTTCAATTCTCACCTTTTGCATGCCTTACAAAAAATTTGTCTTGGCACAATTTCACTTGCATATTTATGGAATGGAAAATATATATAAAACCTCTTAAGTAATAATTTATAATAATACTTTAGAAATATTTTATGCTTTTTGTTCAATGAAGATTTCTGTTTAAAAAAAATAAAATTTATTGAGAATGTCTGAACTTTTCATGCAAAATTTAATATTATTATAAAAAGTCAGGTTAAATTTATATCAATTACTAAATATTTCTTTGACCAGGAAGAAAATAGTAAATGAAATGTTTTTAAAAATATTTAATAATGTCTTTAGTATTAAACAGATTGTCTGGAGATTTTCACAAGCTGCAATAGCCAACATGTAACAAAAATAATGTTTCTTTTTATGCAAACCTAGTGTAACTAATTTTTATATAATCTTATAAAGATCTATGCAAAACTTAAAATTCATGTGTTTACCATGAAATCTTTTTGTCATCAGCTGATAGTCAAAAGCAGAGCTTTTCAATCATTTTACACTGGTGATACATTTTCTTTTTTTAAATTTTGGTGTCATATTACTTGAGTTTTGTTAGCTAAAACAAATATATAATTAAAAAAAAAGTATATGTAAAGAAATAATTCAATAAAAAATTTAGTTCATTTTTTAAAAAAATTAATTACATTAAAGTGTCACAACACTGGTTTGGAAAGCTCTGGTCTAAAGCATGCAAGATATTCTGCTGTATCTACATAAAATATTAAATATGAAAAGAAGAAATTACTTTATTCATAAAAAAATATTCTGATCAAATTATATAAACTATTCAAATGTGATTATATAATTTCTTGAAATAGATGAGCTTGAAAGATTTATATATTTCGTATGAGCAGTATATCGGTGTCATTTAAACTTTCATTAATTACACTCTTTATTGATTAAAAAAGATGAAGTTGATAAAATCATCACCATTATTAATTACCTCCCTTTGATTATATCGAGAAAATTTTTCTTTTTTCCAGTGAAATGATTAGTGAACTTATGGATCCATTTTATTTGGAACATGATGCCTAGTAAGTTATACTTTCTTTATTCAAACTGTTTTGAAAAATTAACAATTTCAATTTTCTCTATTTCCTTGGTAGCTTTATTTAAATATTTCAAGTGCTTGAATGAAAATTTATAAATTCTTGTAATGATAGTTTGTTGTACTGTCTCTATCATGAGAATATGTTCAGGGAAATGTGGTCTTAGCTTTCCAATTAGTGACTTTATAGATGCTCAAATTTTTTTAATTAAATTGAATTTAGATCAGTAAAATTTTGTACTTTTGTAACTGTTAGTGGTAATGATAGACTTTTCTTACAATATATAAATAATGTTTGTTAAATTTATCAAAATATAACTACATAAATTACCTTTGTCAAAAATGTCATGCATTGCTCAAATTATGAGAGAAATTGAAATGGGTGTACACTATACCAGAGTTTTTTTTATAAATATTTACTTTGTCAAACAGAAGCCTTACAAGAGGATAATGGAAATAGGAAGATTGTGTTGCTGCAATCTTCCAAGTGGAAAATCTTCTTTTGAAGCTTTTTTTCAAAATTCTTGTTTTTACAAATACTGACAGATGGTGTTGTTGAAGGAATATGCAACTACAATGAGGGTCTATTCTGTTTAGATTTTTTTATATACTTTTCTGTGAACATTTTCTGAACCAAAAACTGGTGTTATAAATGTAGATAGATCTTATTTTTTTATTTTTATTCTGCAAGTTGTTTGGGCTAATATTTTCCTCCTTGAGGAGAATAGTTCAAAGAACTTAAAGAATAATGGTAATGACTATTTTCAGAATTCCAGCCAATCCTTTATTCACTGTTCACATATTCTTGTAATACTAATAAAAATTGAATTTTCTGATGAATTATTACAATTCTTAATTTAATGATTGAATTGGCTCCTTATGAGTTTTAAGACTTTAAGATGCCCAGGGAAAATCCCCTCTTGTATCGTTAATATTTGAGCTTAACAAAATATTGCAGTAGCAATCATATGTATGAATGTAGGTTATTATTTTTTTTTTTTTAAATGTAAGAAGTTACAAATGAAAAGATTAAGAATTGACGCTGTTTTCCTCACAATGAAAATGGAATGGTTCATTATTTATCTGAGGTAATAGAAAGTCAAAATGTACATGCTAACTACATAAAGGACAAGCAGAATTATAATATGATACTTATTTTTTCTTTCTCCAGTGCCATGTTCTGTCAAGTGATGGCTACAGTGGAACCATGGTACACGACCAAAGATGCACCAACGCCAAAAGTAAGGATTTTGATTCTATCACTGTTGTATCATAGACAAATTTGATATTATCCTATTTTTTTTAATTTGTGTATCTGTTTTGATCATATTGTATCAAAGAACAAAAAAGATTTTTATATTTGATTTCTTTTTTTTTTTCTTGTGAAAGAAGTTAACTTGAGGATGTCTTTGTTGAAATCTAATTTGTGCTTCAATAATGATTACAAAGGGATTTGCATTCAATTAGATCTTGCAACCAATGATTCAGGGTCTGTGTAATTAATGTCTCAGTTTGTTTCTTTATAAACTTTTCAATTAGACAAAATATCTTTCCTTTCTTTATAGTTTGTATGTCTGATCTAATTGGCAATATCCTGTTGCTCATGTTCTATGGGTCAGTCATGCCTGAATTTCTTTGTATCTCTCAGTCAACACAGTTGTATGCAGACTTCTGGTTACTACCAACTTTTTTAAAAGAATGACTAATCAAAATGCTTCCAAGGTTAAAGTTGTTATGAACATTTCTAAAGCTATCTCCAAAAATCCTTTATTTTTTCAAAATACTCCCAAAAAATCATTTGTGATGTTAAAACTGGATTCAAGTCAGGCTTGCTCTAGGAGCCACAATAGATGGTAGGCATACCAATCTGTCCACATTAACTCAGTTTTGATGTCTTTCATATTGATTTTTAATGCAAGCACTTTTTATTCATCCACCTAATTGATCATTTCTCTCTGCTTTGCAACCTGATATTTTAGTTCTGTTGTTTTACATTTTCTGTGATGAAATACTTTGCAGAAACCACAAAAATGTAACAAGACTCCACCTCTAAATGTCTACAATGGCAAATATATAAGATTTTCCATTGCAATATTTTGAAAACTTACCTTACTCTTTTATATATATTAATACACACACACACACACACACACACACACACACACATATATATATATATATATATAAATGTAGAATACCTAAGGTCTTCATGTATAGCCAGGACAAGCTAAAGAGTAACCACTCAACTGTCAATATGCCTCATACTAACTTGGAGTGAGTTACCCTGGCTAGAAATAACTGGAAACATTTGTGCTAGAGTTGTATCAGAAATTTTGAAATGTTGTATTGACCACATAAAAAAAAAAAACAGCTGTGAAAAGTGTCAATAAATTTTCCTGTTGCTATGCCTCAAGATCCTTGCTGTTGCACAATATGTGGACTTGTATGCAAATTACTACCTGGACTGAGGTGTCACATATGACACAGACATGAAAACTGCATGATGATGTCAGATCCTCATATGTCAAAATTGACAGGAGAGTCCATTATATATATATATATAGGGTGATTGAAAAGTAATTCCCTATTTTATGTATGATGGACTCACCCATCTAACTATAATTTTTGCTAGTTAGGAGAGGCCATCATACATAAAATAGGGAGTTACCTTTCAATCACCCTGTATATGGTGCAGCAGAAATAGCTCCGACATAATGGCAAGAGATTAGTGGCAATAGTGTTTTCAGTGAGCTAATGTGAGTGGTATTTCTGCCACACTCTGTATAATGGCTGGTTACTCATTTTTGAGCACAGCCATCTGCCACGGTTAGTAGCAAATACCTATTACAGATGCCTGTTCAACCCATGGAATCCACTGTGGTTTTATACTGCAACTATGCTGAGCGAACCTTTGTTACAATTTCTGGGAGGGTTTACATAATCAAGTGTGATCAGTTTTTTGAACAAGGCCGCCATCAGTCCCGATTTGTGAGTTTGGGCAATTACACAATCATCAACAACTTACAAACAGGTTCCATCTACCTAGTTTCTCTCACAAGGCTTGGGTTAACAAGTGACATGGTTTTCAGGTACTGTAAAAGGTTCCGTATTCTGCGATCACCTCCCCAAGCTGATACATATATATAAAAAATTAATACAAGTAAAAGGTCTGTCACTTAGCTTATAGATGTTGCTTTCAGCATCCTGACTCCAGAGTTTCATAGATGGACCCTCCAGGAATTACTCTGTTTACTCATCAGAGGGTATCAGCAATTGAGTGATTATTCTTCTCCATTTTTCTTTTTTTTTATGGACTTTTCATTGGTGTAAAGATATATAAATGTGTCACTTAGTTGATTGATATTATATTCAGCACCCTGATTCCAGAGTCTTATAGATGAACCTTTGTGTCATCGTTCAGTCCACTCTTCAGTAGGTATCAGCAATTGTGTGCCAATTTTCTCATTTTCGTTATTTTTTTTGTTATTTTTCTTCTTTTTTTTTATTATTGGTTTTAGGTTGAATTTTTTTTCTTTGTGTGCACATGTGTAAAATGTTGTGGATATTTATAGATATGTGTATATTCAATATATCAAAAGTTCAAGTCACTTACCTGACTGACTCAAGAGTTTGGCATCAAAACACTCATAAGCATTTCACTGCAAAATTCCTTAGTTGGTCAAACAAGTCACTTGAATTTTTCTTGATTTATTGAATAATATAACTCTATATTATCTATATTATAACTATATTATGTATTGAGTGCCTTTTGACAACTTCTGCAAGCCTGAAAAATAATGAAATTTTTACATTTTTTTAGATGTATTTAATTATTAAAATAAGTGTATGTGCGTTGGATCTATTTTCAATTTTTCTTGTTGTTTCTTAGGGAAAAGAAATTTTCAATGTGCAGCCTTTCGCTCGGCCACAAGATTTGAATCCTTCCAATGTTATAATCACCAAACTAACCCGCATCCAAGATTACATCCTGAAAAAATATGATGCAGAGCTTCACCTGCATTTGGAACGACTCGAGATTGTTCCACAGATTTATGGCATGTAAGTATACTAACTTTTTCATAAATTAGTTTGTAAATCTTCTTTTTTTTTTTATGTATATGCAGATTTCAGACAAAATGACAGGAGTATGGTTGCAAAAAGGATACCTGAAAAAGAAAGAGACATGATGCAAAATAGCAAATGCTGCCTGTGACAGATGAAATTACCAGACATATAATAAATGAATGTAGAAAATTAATTTAGAAAATGAATTAACTCAGTTGCAGCAGCAATACACAAGTTACAGTACAAATGATTAATTTTTATATATTAAAATTTAAGAATAATGTTTTAAAGGACTATGTCCACATCAGAACATTTGAAAATAACTGAAAAGGAACCAATCAGAACAGAGGGCTAAAAAGAAATTGCAATATACTGCAAAAAGAAAATTTTTCCTTTTTTTTTTTCCTTTTTTTTTTTTTTTTTTTTTTTTTTTTTTCCTTTTTTTTTCCTTTTTTTTTTCCTTTTTTTTTCCTTTTTTTCCTTTTTCTTCTTTTTTCCTTTTTTTTCTTTTTTTACCTTTTTTTTTTTCTTTTTTTTTCCTTTTTTTTCCTTTTTTTTCCTCTTTGACTTTTTTTTCTCTTTTCCCCCCTTTTTTCTTTTGTTTTTTCCTTTTTTTTTTTCCTTTTCTTTTTTAAATATACAATGTATCATTTATCTATCTTGTGATTTTTTTTTTTCTTTTAGTCGATGGGTACGTTTATTGTTTGGAAGGGAGTTTCCAATGCAGGATCTGCTGATGTTGTGGGACGCTATCTTTGCTGATGGAATCGGTTTTGATTTGGTGGACTATGTCTTCGTTGGAATGTTATTGTATATACGTGACCTCTGTAAGTTATCTTTTCAATCTCTATTTTTTTTTTTTTTTTTTTTCACTCACATGATCAAAACAAAAACACTAATTGTTTCTTTTGAGAATTATTGTTGAAATGATGTCCAATTGTCCCTTTTTTTTTTTTTCAGTGCTTACCAGTGATTATCCGAATTGTATGAATACTTTAATGCGGTATCCTCCAGTGGGAGATGTACATTATTTTGTGGACAAAGCACTTTATCTTCGAGAACCAAATGTAAGCTATAATTTATTCTGACTTTAATAAATGTCCAAATATCATTAATAATCACAACCTATTATTTATTTATTTTTTTTTATTAAATTATAAAGATTATTTTGTTGCATTTCTAAGTTTAATTTCTGTGTTTTGCAGTCATACATATTAGACACTATATCTATTTCTGGTCCTCTTGGTCATTTACTTTCAAAGTTATATGCACCTATGCCACAACTTACCAACATAGAATACAATGGATACTAAATGATGCAGCTTTGAAGTGATCCTGATTGAAATCAAGGACAACTAATCTATCAAGGTTACTAAAAATTAGCAGTAACATGTAGGCTTAGTCACTGCCTTCCTAAAACCATCAAATATACCTAATAAAAACTGAGTGCTTCTTTGACACAGAAATATTGATTCATATCATTTAAATATAATTTCATATTTATACTGCTGCGCAAACTTAAATAAATTAGCTGTGTTACTAACAAAACTTTCATCAGATGATAATTAGGGTTATCTAGAATATTTTTTTCAAAGCACCATTATCATTTAACCAAAGTATCCTATCAGTACCTTACAACACCAGCAGATTTTCTTGTTTTTTTCACCACAGTATAAGAACGCTAGATAAAAATGAAACCCCATTTGTTTTCATGTTCACAACTTTCTAGTCTATTTAATCAAAATCTCAGATCATTGTTCATAAATGTCAAAATTATAAGCAGTAAATATAAACTTTAGCTGTAATGTCTAGACCCTTCTACATTTACAATGATTTCTTTATTCTTTACATAAAGGAAAGTTTTCTGGTCATTATTTTATGAAATCAAATCCTCAATGTTTAATATGAAAATAGGAAACAGCACATCATGATGAGATTTTTATTATGGCAAAGGCATTAAAGACTTAGAAAATAAAGCAATTTCCAGTTTAATTTGCAACATAATAATCATAGTATGGAGTATGTATGTATTCATGTTTACTCTGATTACATTAATTATTTTGGTCTAATTTCCAGGGATATAAAGACTAAATTATTAAGTACTTCCTTTTATTTACTTTGCGAATAATTTTCTGTTACAATATATTTGTATGGTATTATAAAATTGTAAAAATGAAATATTGTGAAAAGACCCTAACTTGGAAAATAAAGCAACATCCAGTTTAATTTACAACTTAATAGTGTGCAGTCAGCATTCACATAAGCCCGAAATGGTCCTATTTCTCAAGGGAAATAACTTCTGCTAAATGTTTTTACTGATTAGTTTCCCTTATTTTAAAATTATAAATTCTATAAATATGAAGTGACTTGGCCTTAACGGCTGTTGATGCTGACTTTTAAGTTAGAATTTATAAAACCTTATTCCAAAGATATATTTTTTGTTATTTTAATTGATACAAGAAATTTTTCTTTGTTTTTTAAAGAAAAAAAGAAAAAGGATATATGTATAAATATATGAATCAGAGGAATCTATCTGCAACTCAGCATTATTATATCTATATTATAATCTATCTGTATCAGCATTATTTCGTTTGTGCTGGAAAAAATATTAGTTGCTAATATCATTTGAACACACAGTTGACATAAACTTCTTCATAGATGAAATATTTAACAGTAAAAAAGAATAAAGTAAATAAAATACAATTTATTGAATAAAACAAATTATTGTTACTTGACCAGAAAGGATATTAAAATTGGGAAGGAAAGAAGAGATTTACATTGTTTGGAATGCCATATTCATGACACTTCAGCCATTGTACACTCTGGACTTTTTCAGGCGATATTTCTTGGAACTTCAAACCAAACTCTTTTAGTCTACAGAGGTAGATTGTTCTAATTCCATGTGCCATGCCTTTGGATATCTCGGTTTCAGTTAATTCCCCTTGATAACTCTCTGCTGTGGCCAAAACTCACAACTCTCTTTGGGTCAGGTCACTTTTAGATCAATCACCTAACTTTTATCTACTGGACTCAGTTCAAAATTCCAACAAAAAGGCCAGAGTGTACAACATCATGAATATGGCAATAAAGTAACTGTGTCAAATCAAATGTTGAAAATCATGCCACTGCTATGTATCTACTTACCAATCTTAACATCCAAGTTCTTGAGAGTCCTGGTTCTTCAGGATTTCAATCCTAACATCCAAGGCTAGAGAGCCCTATTTGCCCTGTTATTTAACTCCTAGGTGAGAATGTGGAAAGAAAAGATGAAATCATACCTTTTCCTGAAAGCAGTGTGTTCAATTTAGTCTTCTCTAGAACATAAACTTAACCATTTATCAACTGTCACCTCCCTATTGGCTGAAATGTAGGAACTGAAACTAGAAAATTAAAGATAATAACCTAAATAATTATAAGATATTAATATTTTAAGAGATGAAGAGATTGATTGGCTTTTATTGATTCAATACTTGTAATATTCTTTATTTTTTATTTCCTTTAATGAAATCCTTGTGCTTCTGTTCTTCCAGCAATATCCTCGGCCACCTCCCTACAGTTACCAAACTGTGAACAATATGCAAATGAATAGAAATAAAGGTACGTTGCAAATGGTCAAATATGTAATGAACCCTTTATGGCCATTCAAATCTACTTCTTTTTTAAATCCCTATTCTTCAGGATAATTTGATGTTGAAGCCACTTGTATGTACATTTCTTTGTATTTCATATAAAAAATAAAAGCTACACTTTATAACTCTTTAAAAAATGTATATCATTTATCAAGATGAAAGTCAGGATTTCCTTAGTTCCCACCCCACCAATTATTAAAATTTTTTTTTTTTGCTGTTTTTAAGATGAACATGATTATTAAAATGATGTCTACAAGGTTTGTAGTTTCAATTTCCTATATCATCTATGTAAGTCCTTGCTGGCTTTTATAAAATAGTGGAGAAAAAAAAACGAGTGTTTGTAGCACTTCCAAAAGCTGGCAGCTGTATGCAGCTTTGGGATAAATTAAAAAAAATATTTTGTACTTTTTTTTAGTACAGCCAAGTTGTTTTATTTTGCTTTTATTTTTTAAGAAAGATGGATAAAAACAATAACTAGCAAAAGATGAAGGAAGTAAGTCCTATTATTTGTCAAGCAGAAAAGACCTAAACCTGAGGGATATCAAAAATTAGATTGTACACAGGCACAAAAGCCAAATAGATTTTTTAACTTCTCACCAGACTTGTGTTCATGGATGCAATTATTTTCAGTCACAGAGAATAAAAGCTTGTTTGTTAAACAAGCATTTTCATTGTTTTTAAACCTAAAGACTAGAATTTTAAAGAAATTGATATGATGAAAATATTTTAGGCAAAACACTTATTACTTATATTTAAATAATATGGCTCAGTAATTGAAAAGGCAAATAAATGTTCCTACAAATGATAATATTAGTTTTTAACATTCTTTTAAAATTCCAAACAATTAAAAATATGATAGACATTAAAATCAAATTATAAAATGTTTGTCTTATATGAAATCAATTGATCAAGTTATTTAAATAACTGATAGTGATAAGAAGAAATAAATTTTTTAAAGTAATCATTCAGATTGTCAATTAAAAATGTAAATGCCTTTTAAACTGGGCATTCTTAGTACATTGTGTTGTTTTCTTAGTAAAGCAATGATGAATCGACTTGTTAGAAAGAAAAGGCTTAGGCGTATCTTGCGATTACATAGTGTAAGGGCGGTAACTCTTATTCACAAACTAAGTAAACTCCAAACTGTTGTCAGTATTTAAGTTTTCTGATTAATAACTCCAACTTTTTATAATTTTGGTGCATTACTTGGATTAGCAATTTCTGTGAAACTCATAAAGAAAAATATTTTTATTTATTGTTTGTAGAAATATTTTTATCTTAGACTTATAATTGTTTTCCAGTCATGTAAAAATTACCTCCTAAGTCAGGTAGTGTTTTATATCAGAATGACCACCTACCTTTCTAGACATTGCTATCTCTGATTACTGTGAAGTGGCTATTGATGGTGGCACCCGGTATCAACTGCATTCGCTAGTGATATATATGGTCAAGCCAATAATAGAAATTTATCACAATAATAATTTGGATATATAAAAAAGGTGTGCACATAATATATATATATATATATATATATATATATATATATATATATATATATATATATATATATAAAATAAATAAATATATATATATATATATATATATATATATATATATATAAAATATATATAAAATAAATAATATATATATATATATATATATATATATATATATATATATATATATATAAAAAATAAATAAAATATATATATAAAATAGAAGTGAATGACAGTTATCAAAATACATGAAAATTACTAGAATTTATTGAATTTCAAGGCCAGCAGAATGTGTTCCAAAATTGTGCTTGATAACTTGAGCAACAATAATTTATAAAGTAATAAATATTCAAAGGACTTATCTCATTTCCTATAATAATGCTCTTTATTTGAACATTGTTAGACAAAACTCTGGAGTTGCTCAATGTGAAATCCTTTGAACATTTATTAATTTATAGAGTATAAATAAATAAATAAAATTTAATATATAATCACCAAGTTTATTTACATAAACAGTGAGATTTTGGTTGTCACATTTCTTCTTTGTTCTGATTCATTAGGTTAATAACATACACACCCCAAATAAAATTTAGTCATTCATTTATAAAACACTTTTTTCCCTGGCCCTTGAAAATGTGTAAAATACGTTTAAGGCAGTGCTTATACACTGAAGAGTTTGGAAACCACTGCCTTAAATATTTTGTTCCAAAAAATTAAACAATTACATTGATTTAAACTGAAGCTACAGAATTAAGGAAACACATTTTAAACTCACATTCAATAAATTTTGAAATTTCTAATTACCTTAATGTGTTATACATTTAACTTAAAAATTTCTTAAATCAAAGAAGTACTTGACCTGTAAGTACATATTACTTAGCCAACAATTTAAAAAAATGCAACCAATTTAGCCCTTTTCCTGAAAAGTTTACTGGCTCCTTGTATAGACAATTGGTTTTCAAACTTACAAATACACACCATATATTTTGGCATATTTTTATGAGACAAATAAAAAAAATATCAGTTTTCTAAAAGAATAAATAAAATCAGATTTATTTGTTCTGTTTTTTGTTTTTTTTTAACTCGGCATAATGATTGAGAATAAAAGAGAACCGAGACATTTTTAAGGAAACAATGACATACTTACTGAGAAGATATATAATCAGTAATAATGTCAAACATTAGCAAATTTCCTGATAAAATCAGTTATTTAACTACTGATGAGAAAAGTAGTCTACTAATAAATATTTTAACTTGTCTGTGTAATCACTGGGTAAAATCTTATGGCAGGCATTCAGTTTGGAGGCCACTAGTTTAAAGCATAACATCTCTTCAAAGTAAAGGAAGATAATTTTTATAATTAAGAGATAGTGTAATGGGAATTTAAAACAAGTATAACTTATTTGTCAATAACAAAGAACAAGGTCACTATATATATATTATATCTTCTGTCTAATTTTCATCTTTTGCTGTTGCTGTAAATATATTAAAATATTTACCCAGTTTTTACTTATGTTAGTATATAAATGATTTGTTTTATGGCTTATCAACCCTTTGTAGGTTATTTAAAGCTGAAACTTATTTATGAATTGTATAAGAAATTTTTTTTTCTTGTTTTTGCTTTTTTGCAAATGAATTTTGTATTAACAACTTTAGGGGTAAATATAGATTATATAACAATATGATTTTTTTTTTCAGATACAACTTGCATAAAAATAGATTGTAATAAACTTTCTCTTTAAAAATAGGATATATCAAACTATTTCATTATAGAGAGATTATGTGCACATTTTTTTCATCTAACTTAAGTTGATGTTAATTAATTTCTCATAATTTTATTATTTTTATTTACTTTTATTTGTTCTTGGTTCTCTTCAGTGCCGATTGCCTGGGATATTTCCATTTTCTTTGGTACTTCTTGAAAAGTAGATATAAACTGATCTATTTTTTTATGGGTGAATTTTCTATTCTTGAAATTAAAGAAAAATTTGTTTACGAAATTTATAAAATTATGAGATGAGATGTTTTATTCATTATCAGTGATTCCCAAATTTTTTTAAGTTACTGCTCAATAAAACTTTGTAACACCTGTTGTTTCTCCAGCTCCTTTCTAATGCTAAGCCTATTATCTCTTGCCCCTCAATTTCATTTTGCATTCCCCTAATCTCTCTTAGATCTTGTCCAAGAGTTCCAATCCAACCAAAAATCATCTTTGGGAATCGCTGCACTAAACTCTTCTTTGGACATCTTCAGATTTGTTGCTTATATTTTGACTGGTTTATTTTTTAATCTTTTGATTATACTGTGATTAGTGAATACATTTTCACATGCAGAACATTAGTTCTCCTTTGAGACTAGACTTTACACATGTAATCAATTAAAGAAAACATGAAATTACTCAATGTCTGTTACATATGAAATTACTCAATGTCTTTTGTAACACATGATACTGAAACACAGTCAAGATAATACAGGGAGATTTAGTTTCATGCCATCCTAAGGGCATTAAGATGAAACTAATGTTATATCTTGAAATTGTTTTCTGATGTCTTAGGTCCTTTCACACTTACTTGACTTTGCAAGCCATTGGTTGTAAGTTCACTCTATCTCCATCAATAAACTATTTTTTTTACTCCTAGTTAACTAATAAAATTCTAGACACCAAAATTAGCCAATTTTAATGGCATATAAGATTCACTTTTCCTCTCTTAAGTCTGTAATAAATGTACACAAATTGGCCAATTAGGGAATAACGGTAAAGTCCCAGAGCATAATTTGTGGGCCAGAACTGTATTATTGAATTGTAAGACCTCTGTTGGTCTGATAAAATGAGTAATCTGACATTGCTCCAGAACAAAGGGTGCCAGAAAAATGGATGGTCTACTTGTATTATAAAATTAGTTTTGAATTCTTCAAGCAATTTATTTCTTATGTAAAATGCCTCACAGATGCTTAAAGATGAATATAAAATTTACCAGTCAGTTTTATTTTAATGATAAGAGCAAGAAAGCTGATGTTGTCATTTTGATAATATTAATATCATATAGAAGCCTGCTTTATGGCTGAAGTAGTTGCATATTTCCCCACCAACACAAGGTAAGTGTACAATCCCAGAATGATGATTTTTTTCAATACAGGCAGACTCTCCCTACTTAGAAGATTGACACAACACAATCTTCCACTTTCAACACTTGACTCTGTGGTAGACTATGTCAATTTTAGTAAATAAAATGGATTATGTTATGTGCAAACATATAACACAATCTTCAAAATGGATTGGATTCTTTTGTACTGTAAGCAACTATCCAACTTCATTCCTTTCTCTTAATCATGTGTAATTTATAAAAAATTTTAACTTTATTAACATTATTTTCATTTCATTCACATTTGTATTTTCCATAGTACTAATGCTAAAATGCTTGCTCTAAATTTAAAGCTAATCTTACTAACTGATGACTATTTGGCCTGTATT